CACATATTTTTGTCCTGTCTTATAAGAGAATTATGCTCAGACATTCACAGAAATTATAAAACACTTAGAATGGTTTGGGGACACAAATATCCAGAAAAGTCTTATGTTTTTTGTGACCTTTAAGCCACAGTTTAAACCTGAGTTTAGTTCTGAAGGGAGAGATATTAATGATTTTAAAGGTTAGAATGGAATGGTCAAAATAATCAGAGTGTACATCGAATTAATAATCAAATTTATGTTTTATTGAGATGGTTCCATCTCTGGAAGTGTTCAAGGCCGGTTTGGATCAACCTGCGACAGTTGAAGATGTCCCTGTCCATGGCAGGCATTGGAACAAGAGGGTCTTTGACGTCCCTGCCAATTTTAAACCATTCCATGATTCTATATAGGAGAAATCCCAAATTTAGCTGTAGTGGAAATAAATCCAGTTTGTGTTTAGAGAGGACCTTGCGCCTAATCCCATCCTTGTTGGCATCTTTCAGCGCAGAGCAATTACAAGGTGGGAATCTGCTGGGAAAAGCAAATGTTGGATTTGCTGAGGTTTCTGTCTCTGTTTACACCATCGTCCTACTCTATCATTATCATCGTTATCATAATCACCCACACGGTTATCTTCACACCATGTATTATTTATAAATTACGAGCTTTTTCAAATCTGGAGATACATATGGGGAGTTCCTGAGCCATCATCCTGGAAAAAAAAATAATGCTAAAGTTTTACAAGAACATTCCAAGGGATTTTCAAGCACCTCTTGAACACCCATGACTGACTTGTTCCTACTGTGTCAGAGTTATATAAAATCTTTGCCAGGGTGTAAACACCCCACAATTACAAGAGATTATCTCATTAAAATGCATAAATTGAGGCCACTTGAGTTTTTCCCATAATCAGCTCTTGGTTTATAACATTGACCTTCCTGCCTTTGTCCTTAAGAATAAAATCTATTTTTTCTTTTTTATTTAATACACAGAATGTTGTGTCTCTAACATGTAAAAACAGGAGGGGAAAACAAGGAAAGGAAAGGAAAACTAGATGAAACTACTCAGAAAACTCAATTTCCATGGAATTGTGGCTGCCAGGTGAAATATTTCTCTGTTTCCAGGGACTGAAAGAGAACCAGTGGAGAGTTTAAAAATGAACATGGGGAGAGACTTCTTCTAAGGGTTGAATTGACAGAAAAGAGGGAGTGGATTAAAACTGACAGAGAGGAGGTTTATGGGATATTGGGCAGGAATTGTTCCCTGTGAGGGAAGGGAGGCCCTGGCACAGGATATTCCATGGATTCCCCATCCCTGGAAGCTGTCCAAGGCCAGGATGGATGAGACTTGGAGCACCCTGGTCTACGGAAGGTGTCCCTGGATGATCTTTAAGGTCCTTTTCAACCCAACCATTCCATGATAGCATTTTATGGTATAAAGTCCATTCAAAGATGCTCCTGATTGTTGTGTTTGCCTTGTCTTGAGTAGGTGGAGGGAGAAATGCTGAGCCTGCAGAACCAATGTTTTTCCCTTTGTTATTTGTCTGCAGTCTTCATTTGAGTTCCTAAAAGAAACTCCATTGGCTCCGTGTCTCCTGTTAATCTCACCCAAGGACCTTTACCTGGGCAAAACCATGAGTGTCCTTCAGTCATCCTAATTATGAAGGATTCATAAATAATTCAAGTCAGCTTTATTTCCTCCCCTAACGCTAATGAAAGCAATGGGATCATAAAAAAGAATTCCGCACATAAAGACTGGAGACAATAGAGGTCTGGGGTGGAATGTGCAGATCATGCTATGTGTGGTTTTGAAGTGCACCAGCAATAAGCAAAGACAATTTCAGCACTTTGGGGAATTATGTGTCCTGCAATTTGGGGTTGGGACCTAATTATGCACTGGCGCATCAGGTGACCAGTGCCCTGTGGGCAAGCAGAGAGCTCTATAAAAGGCGTCTGCACCAGGTCCTTCCATCCACTTCTCTCACCTGTTCTGCCTTCGTGAACCAGGTAAGTCACTTTTGTCTCAAATTTCTCTAAATTGAACTTCATGTCAAGAAATCTGGTTGCAGCCAGGCTGCCACTGCTCTGTAGGATATTTGGTGTTTATTTTCTCATTTATCTCTTGGTGTTTTAAGAGAGGGAATCACTGAGTGGTATTGAACCCCAAACTTGTATTATTTTAGCACTCCAAAGGGTTCCTTGTCTGTATTTTAGGAGATAAAGAATAACCTGTATATGTGGCTACATTTGGTAGTTTTGCTGAGTTTGTAGCAGGAAAGATAAAATCTGAGTAGAAATCATCAGCTCAGAGTAATGTAATACTGATGAAATTATCTGATCAGGAAATTCAAAGATACAGCTGAAGAGTACAGACTGTATTGGACTGAAGTCAAGAGTAGCCTGGAGATCACAGCCATAGGAAAAATAAGAAAAGGAAATACATTTACTTCCCAGATTTATTACTGATACCCTTGGACTGCTCCAGCACAGCCTAAAGTTTGTTATTCCTTTAAAATTAATACAAATTAACACCTTCCACAGATCAACCTCCACCCCTGCAAGATGTCCTGCTACGACCTGTGCTCCATTGGTGGCTCTGGCCTCATCGGTGGCGCCGGCCTCATCGGTGGCTCTGCCTGCGGTGCCCTCCGTCCCCAGCCCCTGGCCGGCAGCGGGAACGAGCCGTGCGTCCGTCAGTGCCCTGACTCCACCACCGTGATCCAGCCTCCCGCCGTGGTGGTCACCTTCCCCGGCCCCATCCTCAGCTCCTTCCCCCAGGATTCCGTGGTGGGATCTGCTGGAGCACCCGTCCTTGCAGCCTCCGGAGCCTCCCTGGGCTATGGGGGATTTGGCTCTGGGGGCTATGGGGGATTTGGCCTTGGGGGCTATGGGGGATTTGGCCTTGGGGGCTATGGGGGATTTGGCCTTGGGGGCTATGGGGGCTCCTCCCTGGGCTATGGGGGTCTGGGGTACTGTGGGGGCTCCTCCCTGGGGTACCGGGGCCTGTTTGGCTCTGGGAGATCCTTTGGCTCCTGCAGCTCCTACTCCCGCTACGGCCGCTACCGCCGCGGCAGCTGCGGCCCTTGCTAAACCCGAGGGAAAAAATCCCAAGAGAGGTCTCATCAACAGATGAAATGTGATGGTTTCACAGCCAAAGAGCTTGGAACCGCTGCTGCTCCATCCCAAAACCACGGATTTGTAGCTGTTCAGCCCCTTTTGGATTTCTCCTCTTTCAGCTTCTTCCTCAAAGCTTCTCCTGCCCCATTTCTGTGTTGCCTGGGGTAAATATGGAACAAAAGGGCTCAAAATGGGTCCTGTTTCTTCACATAAACAGCTGGGATTTGGAAGAGAACCCCAAACAATCACATGTGAATGTACCTCTGGCTGGAGAAGAGTTTCTTGCTTCTTGGAGACTTTGCAAATCCATTGTTTTGCTTATTGTCATTAAAAGTTTATTGCATCAAAGTTGCCATGTTCTGGTGTTCTTTTCTCCTGTTTTCACCATTGTTATTTGCCTTTGGAGAAGCCTCACCTGTGCAGGTGTCAGTAACAGCCTAAAATATCCTGGAATCATGGAATGTTTGGGTTGGGAGGGATCTTAAAGCTCATTCATTCCACACCCTGCCACAGGCAGGGACACCTCCCACTGGCCCAGGTGGCTCAGAGATTCATCCAGCCTGTCCCTAAACCATGGAGATGAATGTCCTGCCCAAAAAACCAGGGAAGATTACATTTCCATACCAATTTTTTCCAGGTTAAACTTTCATCTCTTTGACCTTCATGTTCTGACTCAAATATTTCCTCAGTCAAACATTTAAACTCTGTCTTCAGGAACAACCTCAGCAAAAAGTTAAATCAATTTCCTGTCAAATCTTTAAATAAGGTTTTCTGGGCCACAGAGTGGAACTTTGAAATCTGAAATCTTTCTGAATAATCATGAAATGCAAAGTGTTGGATTGCTTTTTACAGAAAAACAGCTCCTTCAAGGATTCACTCACACCAGCAAGAAAAGCTGGAGCACAGAGAACCTGGGAAAATGGTTCCTGGAAAAATTAAATGGTAGAAAATGCCTTAACCTGTGAGCAAATGCAGCCTTCCTCTTGCTCTGGTGAGATTCCACCTTCCAGGATCTACAGGGAAGCTGGAGAGGGAACTGGAGTGACAGGACAAAGGAGAATGGATTCAGACTGACAGAGGGCAAATTTAAGGTGGATATTGGGAAGAAATCTTTCTCTGTGAGGGTGAATAGGCCCTGGTACAGGTTTTCCTGGGAATCTCTGGTTACCCCATCCCTGGAAGTGTCCAATGCCAGTCTGGAGCTACTTGGTCCAGCAGGAAGTGTCTCTGCCCATGCTAGGGGATGGAAGGAGAAGATATTTTCTTTTTTGTCCTGTCTTATTGAGTCTTGTCCTGTTGGATTGGGTCTTTTCAATCCAACCCATTCCATGAGTCCATGAGTCTGTAATGTTATTACTGTGCCCCAGGACCGCTGGGTGGGAAGATTCCTGCTCCCAAATTCTGGATCAAGGAGCTGTGGCTGACTTCACTCCCAGCTAAGACATTCCATGTGGTTTTGAAATCTGAACTTCAGTCTATTTTAAGGATTTATATTTTCCCCCACCCTCTACAGAGAGAAGTGTTGCCAACCCACAGCCAGAGAAATTGAAACTAAAGCTTCATTTGTTTTTTGCAGACCAGAATCACTTTAATGAGAAAAAAAACATTCACAGAAAAACATTGCAGAGTATGAAGAATATCAGATCACAGGCAACTCCTTCCAGAGTTGCTCTTCTCCAGTTGGACAGTGAAGTTACATTTTAGAAGATAAATTACATATTACACACACACAGACAGAAAAAAAAGTCCAGAAGACAACAAGTAGAAGGTGAATGAATCAAGGAGGAGTTGTGTGCTTCCACCTCCACCGGGGTGGGGTGGCTATGGTCACAACACCTCCTCTGGGGCCAGAATTGCATCTCTCCGTTGTTGGTGATTCCTTACTCTGGGATGTTTCCCTAGGGTTTAGCAGGAGCCCCAGAAGCCACGGCCGTAGCGGCCATACCAGGAGTAGGGGCTGCAATAGCCAGAGCCAAAGGCTCTGCCAGAGCCATACAGGCCCCGGTACCCGCCACAGGAGCCCAGACCCCCATAGCCCCACAGACCCCCGTAGCCCAGGGATCCGTAACCCCCATATCCATAGAGACCCCCATAGCCCAGGGATCCATAGCCCCCATAGCCCAGGGATCCGTAGCCCCCATAGCCCAGGGAGGCCCCGGAGGCTGCAAGGACGGGTGCTCCAGCAGATCCCACCACGGAATCCTGAGGGAAGGAGCTGAGGATGGGGCCGGGGAAGGTGACCACCACGGCGGGAGGCTGGATCACGGTGGTGGAGTCAGGGCACTGGCGGACGCACGGCTCATTCCCGCTGTCAGCCAGGGGCTGGGGGCGGAGGACGCCGCAGGCAGAGCCGGTGGAGCACAGGTCGTAGCAGGACATCTTGTAGGGATTGGAGGTCAACACAGGCTAAAAAAGAAGGCAAGGAGTTCACAATTCGGAAATTTAAATTAAAATGACAAGTAGAGTGTTTGGAGCACTTTGCAATCTCAGTGCTCTCTTTTTCTCAAAAAGCATTTTTTTCAAAAATTCTCTAAAGGGTGTCTGCACACAAGAGCAAGTGGGAAATGTTCTAAAATCCTTGTCCCCCATAACATCCTGCAAAGAACTGTGACTGATTTCTCCACATTAAACTGAAAACCGGGAGCAAAAGCAGCGAGAGCAAAGTGACTTTGTCCAAGGTCATTGGATGAGTCATTAGGAAAACTCAGATTTGGGTTCAGCAGGTTTGCATGAGATGGAGCTTATAGAGAACTTAATTACAGTAGCTTCATCTTCCCACTCATCCCAGTTTTGCTGAGAGTCAAGGGAACAACAGATTATAGGATTGTGAGCACCTGGCTTTCCCAGAAAGGCATTTGACAAGACAATAAACAACAAATCTCCAAGGACGTTCTGTAAATCCTTGACAGAGTTCTGAGGAGGAACTTGAAAGCAAGAAGGTGAAGGAGAGCCTGAGGATTTGTGGTAGCAAGACACAAATGGCTTTATCATGTGTGAACGGCTGCAGGGGTGACACCCTTGTTAAACCTTAAACCTTTTAAGCAAAGGTTGAGATGGGTTAAATGTATCAAAATGAGGATCAGAGAATCACAGGCTTCCTCAAGCTGCAAGTGACTTAAAGGGCTCAAGTCCAAGCCCCTGCTCTTTGCAGGGTTATTTAGAGCTAAAACTGAGAATCTTGGAATTGCCTGGTTTGGAAGAGACCTTAAGAGATCATCCAGTTCCACCCCCTCCATGGGCAGGGACACCTCCAACTATCCCAGGTTGTTCCAAGCCCCATCCCAACTGACTTTGGACACTTCCAGGGATGGAGAGTCCATGGAATATCCAGTGCCAGGGCCTCCCCACCTTCACAGGGAAATATTTCTTCCCAATATCCAACCTAAATTACACCTCTGTCAGTCTGACCCCGTACCCTATATCCTATCCCTGCAGTTCCTGAGGTAAGTCCCTCTCCAGCTTCCCTGGAACCCCTGCACATCCTCAGGTCTCCAAACAACCTCTGTTCCTCCAGGCTGAACATTCCCATCTCTCCCAGACTGGCTCCATAGGGTAGGGGATCCAGTCACCTCTGCTGACTCAGAGCACTGTCCAGTTGCTACGAGGTCTGGAGTTCCTGACACCAAGAACTCCACAGGGCTCCACACACCAAAAAGTTGTATCTGCCACCCCAGAGACAGAAAAGTCCTTGATCTTTCCCAAGTCCATGCAGATTCACCCAACAGAAAGGATGTTGGACATCAACTGGAGTTGAAACCAACAATAAAAAATACAGCGAGAGCAATGGAGAAGATTCAGACTTACCCAAGTCTCCAAGAAGTCAAGGGAAGCGTTTGGAGGAGTGAGGAGACAGAGGAGCTTTTATATCAGCTGGAGGCACCAGATCAGCATCTCTTGGCCGCCCCAATTTCAAACTCATGCAACCATCAGGATGATGAAATTGTTGGGTTCATTATTGGCGTTTATGAGGCCTTTCAAATTTGTTTGTAATAATGATCTAAACATCACCTGAGATTATAGAGAATTCTTTCATCTTGTGACGAACTGGGGGGGAGATTAACACCCGGCATTATTCCTGTCACTTCCTTGGAATTACATCAGGAATCGCCAAGCCAGCTCCTCTTGGTATTAACTGAATACCTGGAGAGTGGCTCATGGGTTCATCGGAATCACAAATTCCACTGGAATTTAATCCTGAGCAGGAAAAACAGTGAAATCCTAAATTTTGGCCACTTCCACAGAGTTCCATGGAGGAGACAGAGAGGACCATTTGTCTTCCTGAGGCTTGTTTGGGTTTGGGAGATAAACAAGGAATGAATTCACAAAGTTAACGAAAGCCACAAAAGGATTGGAGGTCCTGAAGAGACTTTTCCCAGGTGTTGAGGGTCGGATGTTTTCTGGACAAAGGTGGCACCTGAGAACATTGAATGGGCCTGAGGAAATGTGGGATTTTTTAGGAAAAAATGGATCCTCTGGTGCAAAAGTCAAAATGTGACGCAAGTACTTTGAGTTATTGCCTTGTGTTCTTAGGAATTCATGAGCGCCTGTGATACACAAGTCATAAATCCCAAAAAGGGCTGAGCTGGAAGTTTCTGAGGTGAGGGAACAATGAGGAATTTGGAATGTGTGACACAAAGACTCCTTCTTGCCTCGTTTACAGGTGGGCCATTTTAATATTGCAGACTCCACGCCATAGGTGATCCCTAAATGGTGAGGTGGGGTTCTCAGCATTTGGGGGACAGGGGCTTTTGGACAATAATCTTTTCAAGCTTCTGGGAGCAAGTCCATGCAAATCCTGTGGATGACCCATTAGATTAAAGGCATGGAGCTGGATTTAGGTTCCTCACAATTATGGAATGACATCACATTCAAACACCTCAGTCAAGATGTTTATGGTATCTTGGTAACCATTGGTATCATCACTTCAAAGCCAAATACTGGGGGCTTGTGACCCTTCAGGTTTTTCCCCAATGAAAAAATAATTTGAAATAAAAAATTCTGAATAAAACCCGGAAATTCATGAATTGTATTTTATTTAAAAACAATTCCAGGGATGGCTCAACCACAGGCTCTGGTCTCAGGGAACAAGGGACAGGAGAACAGGGAATGGCCTTGGTTGAGGGTTGGTCACAGCTTGGACTTGATGGTCTTGGAGGGTTTTTCCAACCCAAATAATTCCAAGATTTTGTAACAAAAACCCTTTAAGGACCACAGGATGATTTCCATGCCTTCCTTTGGGTTCCATAATGTTCTTACATTAAGTAAAGTAATGATGATAGAAATGACCACCCCAAAGTTGCTCTAAATATTTTTTTCTCCAGGTATTTTGTTTTTTAATGGAAAAAAGCTCTGCACACCAGGTGACCCCAAGCGAGCAGACGGGTTTTGCCATTAATGATGGAGAAGCTCTGGAAGAGCGTTGGGATAATTCCTGCTGTAACGCCAGGGCTGTGAATGGAATGATAACAGGAATGAGGATGACTTGTCACCATTCCAGATGAAAGAGGGCTCTGTGATGAAACGCGCCTCTCACATTTCACGAGACTTCGGGCCAGCAAATAAACAAAGAGTCAGCAGAACTTTGAGGATCTAGTGTCACATTCATTTGGGGTTTGCCCCAATTATGCACATCCCCAAATTGCACCTTAGATGTTCCCCAGGATCTTGGGAATGGTATAAAAGCTCTCCCAACCTGGGGCTCTTCACTTCGCCTTCCTTGCCTCATTCACCTCCTCAAGAAAGGTAAGCACGATTCTAAGGGATCTCTTCCCTTAAAATTTTCCCTTAGAAAATTCCAGTCTCTCTTTTCTGCTGGTCTTAATCAAGGTTGGGGTCATCCATAAGGATTCTGAGATTCTTAATATTTGGGTTATTTTGTGATGGTTTTATTTTTAGTTGGTGTTGGACATTCATAAGTTCAAAATGGTAAAATCATTCTTCTTCTTAGTAGAAATTAGAAAAATTACCAAAGCAGCTTCCAAAACCTTGCAGAAGGTTTGTTCAGCCAATAAGAATTTTCTATGGGTTTTCTGTGGTGAGAAAGAAGTACAAGAAATCAGGAATGAGACCCCAGGAGAGATGACAGCTCAGAGAGCGAGTGATTTACAAAAACACTGATGAGAAGGAAGGACAAGCAAGACTTGAGACATAACAATTATTTTCATCCACACATCCAACTGTCAAATCTTTTAACCATTGAATTTCTGCCTTTTTCTCACTCCTCAGTGTCCGCTGACCTCCAATCCCTACAAGATGTCCTGCTACGACCTGTGCTCCACCGGCACCCTCTGGATGATGTAGAAGCGCAAAGCAAGATTTTTCTTCCCTTTAAATTCTTTCCTGATACCTCCATGAGTTCAATTCCTTGTTATCTTCTTTATCACCCCTGTGGCTGAATGCAGTGACAGACTTTGAAGTGTCTTTCAAGCTCTGCCTGCATTTACAATCCTGATGTTGCCATGTTGTTTGTGTTCTTTTCATTCTCATTAAAACTGTTGCATCACTGAAAATCCTTGTGTTGGGCTTTTGTGTCCTCACCCACCCTGAGTTTGCCAACCTCGCTGGATAAAGCTTCCTGCTCTGCATGAGGGTGCAAAAACATTGAGCAAACTCTGCCTAGAGGGGAAAGTCTCCATGGAGAGCCTTCCATGGGGCTGTTTTACCCATGAATTTACAATTTCATAAATTTACATTTACGGAATTACAATGTGGTTACAGCATGGTGGCCAAAGTTGAGCAGAAGTTCCCTCTACATGCTGAGCAGAGGGAACTTCTTTAAATCCACAACAAGGACCTCTTGAGTGGTCATGGAATCACAGAATTGGATTGGAAGAGCCTTGAAGATCGTCAAGACCATGGGTTTAATTTATTTATATATTAAATACAAATAGAATTCGTGTCCATATTTTATAAGTAGCCTAAAACCCAACAAAAGCACTGCACCATAAATGTCATTATCTCCTTATGTCATCAGCAAAGCACAAAGCCACCTCCTGACTCAGGCAGATCCTTATCTCACTAGGAGTTTTCCTTATCTGGGTCAGCTGCCAAAAGATCTCAGGGTACGCGTTTTCCTGCAGCAAAAAGATTTGTTGAACATCACTACGTTTAGAGAACTTCTGACCAGAAAACTGAAGGGAAAACATGAATTAAAACCAGCAAAATCTGCTGCAAAATTGAATGACTCCCAGCAGAACACAGAGCTTCCCCAGTGGTATCCAAATGACAGGTGGAGGGGATATTCTATGTCCTGCCAGGACCTGAAAATCAGTCAGAAAATCTCTACCTCCTGTCAGGACCTGATAAACCAGTCAGAAAATCTGCCTACCTCCTGCCAGGACCTGAAAAATCAGTGAGAAAACCTGTGGTGGTGGAGAGAA